TTTTCCTTTGATTTGTGTGAATAAGAGACCTTAGAGTCTCCTTTATGTACCTATATAAACTCAGGCCCTATGGCCATTGTAAACAATCTTTGAATATATTGAAAACCCTTTACTCTTTGAGTATTATTAAAATAGTGTGATGCTATTTTAGCCAAATTCCTAATTCTATATCTTAAGAGTGGTTATCTTAAGTGTGAGTTTTAGGTTCTAGATATTTGATTAAGTGTGTAATATCTTAATTGAATTCTAGATTCAAACCCCAAGTTAGGATAAGAGTGTGTAATATCTCCTAACACCAACTTGGTTTTATCCATCCGTGATATTTCTTCCATTTCATATCCCTCCATTTCTCCTCTTAATCTCACTCTTTTTCTGCTATTAAAAATACCAAAAGAACTCCTTCATCATTCCCATATTAATCCCAGCCATTCCCCACACAGACACCACTATTGTCTGCCCAGATTTTGGATCCTGATTGCCTTGATAATCGATTATCACACATCAATAATCGATTATCTAACCCTTCAGAAAACTCCTGGAATAATCAGCGAAGCCCAATAATCGATTATCAACTTTGATAGTCGATTGTCTGGCCCCTCTGAATTCTCGTCGTCTAGGCCATACAACCAAATAATCGATTATCACACTTGTGTCAATCGACTATCCGGCATCCCTGAAGTTCCTTCGTTTTGCAGCATCACTACATAATCGATTTTCAAACCCCATAATCGATTATTGAGTGTCCCAGAACTCTTAATCTAAAGCTGCATCACCCCTTAATTCCTTCTCAAAATAACAACTCATTTAGACCCCCAGTTCGGGCCTAACACTCCCGAGAGACTCTCTCGAGCTACACTACTTCCGTTAAGCTTACGGGTGCTTAACGAACCGTTACAACTTGAGAACTCGAGTCCCACGAGCCTCAACAACACTTGCTCGGAGATACCGCACTCCAAGACTTCAACCCGAAGGAAAATACCTTTCCTTCGTACAACCAAGGGAAACAAGCTTCCCTTAATGTGTATACAACACTAAACACTCAAGAACAAGACTCTCTTTAAGAGTAGATAATGAGTAAACTAAGTACGCTCAAGAACAACTCAAACTTCACACAAATTGGCTCTAGAAAGCTATGGAAAATGATGTTGTATGAATGCAATGATCATATGAATAATGTGAAGTGAATTGGTGAGAAAAGCAGACCCAAACACCCCTTTTTATAGTGCCAAAATAGGCTCCAACGGACCAATACATTAAAGAGGTGATTGGCTTGATTTATGGGATTGAATAAATTTGGAATCTGCAGGATATTGGCTTCCCATCGATGTTTGGAACTTACCCATCGCTGGTAAGCCAATTTTCCTTCAGTTTTGAAGCCAACGGTTACCTACCCATCGATGGGTACAAGCTTCCCATCGCTGGGTGGGAGGTTGACTTCCAAACAAGGAAAGAATCAACCTTAAATGACTTCCAACGGTCATGCCTTCCCATCGATGGTTTATCCTTACCATCGCTGGGTTCCCATCGATGGGATAGGTTTCCCATCGCTGGGCAAGGTCGTTCTGCCTTGTGATAATGTTGTACCAAGGCTTTAACAGCGATGGGTAGAACTTCCCATCGCTGTTTGGCATGGTTCTGGAAGTTGGTTTGGCTTAGGGACCGCTTACCCATCGATGGGAAGATCTTCCCATTGCTGGGTGGGTGGTTAGCCAAAAAACCATGGTCTTTGCCTTAACCACGGCCTAGCCAACCGATGCAAAAACCGACCGAAAAATCCAAAGTTCTCCAAAATAAAAACCAAGTGTTTAAAACACTTATTTGATGTATTTGGCTAAGAAATCAAGTGATTTACTTTAAAAACCACTTCATTTGAGTAAAAACCACGGCTAGCCAAGTTTACGCTGTTTTGCGTGGTTTTTGTCAAACGACCAAAAGCGAAAGATGGTTTTCAAAGTGTTTTTTGTTGGAGAACCGTTTAAACATGCCAAAGAGTGAAAACCAATCATAAAAAGTTTAAAACCACTTGGTTGGTTCGGACGCCAAAAACCAATGCCGATAACCGAAAGCCGAACGCCGGTTTCTGAAAGCCGAACACTGGATTGCTTGGTTTTTGGTTTGGGCGAACACCAAGTGTTTTTAATGATTTACACATGTTTGAAAAACATTTTTATGATGCAAGAAATGCAATGAAATGAATTTAGCCTAAAGAGCCAAGGTGTAAAGATTGGGTCGGTCTTGATCACAATAAAGACCGACTCAACGATACTAAGACTAAGGTCTTCGTTCTTGGTCTTCGTTTAGCTCTTGTTCTCTTTCTTTCTTCTTATATTTATTTCTCGCCTTGTATATTCAACGACTTGTCTCATTCACGGCGGTTTGGCATTATCAAAACTTGTCATAACAACGAACACGGCTTTAGTACGAAAACGTGATAAACCCGTGTTTCAACAAATTTATATTTCACTGCAACCCATTCCGAAATGAACATGAAACAAAGAACAATTCTCAGTCCTCCATGGAAATGAGGAAAAACGGTAGTGGAGAGGTAAAACGGCTGAGTGAGAAGTGCAGAGAAAAGAAACGACACCTTCTGGAGAAGAAAAAAACGGCAAAAAAGAAAGAGAAAAGAAATGAGCAAAAACCTGGAGGAAGTAGCAGAGGTAGTGAGAAAATCCATGCTTAATCATCTTCATATAACCGGCACCACTGCCTGAGTAAGAAGTGCGCTGCACAGTAAAGTGACGAGAGTAAGTGGATCAAACAGTAAATAAGCGACGTTTTACGCAACCTTTCTTCCCTGCCCTTAGCCCCTACCTCAGTCCTGTCACCAAATGCTCTGGAATTTGTGCCTTCCAACCCAACCACTGCTAAACCTACAGCAATCAAGGAGTCCAACATCTCATTTAGGGGCTGCTCTATGTCCGACACAGAAAGGGATAACAACTGGAGCACCTCCAAAGCATACGACTCAGATTTTGAACATTTGGGCTATGGAAACAAACAGGTACACTTAGAGGAAGAAAGTTAATGGGGAACTGATAATGGGGAAGAGATTGAAGGTGTGGAGGACTGGCATGCAAGGAAATCATCTCTGAATAAGAAGAACCTAGCAAAATTTGAGCATCTAAGCAAACATTTTCAAGGAGGAACCCACTCAAAACCAAGAAGGAGTAACCGTCTTGCCAGCCTAAGAAATCAACTCTTTGAAGAAAACAACCTGCCTTAAATCTTATGTTTATTCTACTCTCTTTTCTTAGATCATTTAGTGTATCTTCTCTTCTTCTTTTTTTTTTTACCTTTTGCTTTGGCTTTTTTCATGTTTACATTTGCTTAAGCCTTGATCATATTGAGTCTTGGGTTTTTCTGTACGCATTCTCTTCTTTGGGCTCAACCTTAACATGGTTTGCAAGCCAAGGAGAGGCTACCATTTGAAGCATTTACAGAACATAATGGAGAAGCAGATTGGAAGGCCTTCTGAGAAACCCAATGGAGAATCTGCAGAGTACAATGAACTTCATGTTGCTTCTGCAGAGCAGAATGAAGCCTCGGTAGATTGATCCAACACACTACAAGTTTGATTCCAGGAAGTCAGTAAGAATTATTATGAAGCAATGGCAGTTATGAGCAGAGCCTGCTGATAACAAGCAGGTGGGACGAGCAGAACAGACACAAGGAACCTACAAGGATTGTGGAGCCCTTTATTTTGTTTTTCTCCTTCAGATTTAAATGCTTGTACACTCATCTTTAGAATACTTTGGTTGGGTCATAATGTAGGGGTTTAGGCCTCCCCACTCCTGTACTTTTCTTTTTTTTCCTTATTTAATAAAAACTTTCCTTTTATATATATATATATATATATATATATATATATATATATATAAAGAGTTTACGTCTTTTAAGTTTTTGAGTAGCCCAATGGGTATATCATATTTTAAATGAATATATATAAAACTAAATAGCTAATAAAAATAAAAAAATAAGTGCATAACCCGTCAGGTCAAACCCGACCCGACCCGTTCTGACCCAAAAATTTAACGGGTGTTCGGGTTCGGGTCGCAAAATCAATGTTCAAAACCCGCTAATTTTGGGTTGGATTTCGGATTAGTAACGGGTCGGGTCAAATTTTGTCAGGTCTACTTAGTATCAATAATGACGGAGGGTAATCCCATGTCAGCCTGACATGGGGTCCAAGACCGGACTCCTCAACCAGATAAGCCGGAAGAGCGATGAGCTCGGTCCCTCGGACTCGCCTCGATAGGCACGGGCTCGGCTTAGCCATCAGGACCCAAGGACTCTATGCTCAGACCAGATGACAATGACGGGAGGATAACGATCGGATGGTAACGACTACGTGAAAGGGACCATACGATGAGAATTATGTGACATCGGCTAGACGACAATGTAATGACCACAGGGGTTGACCAAGTGTATTGTTGAATCTATAAATAGGCCAAGGCCTTCTCATTGTAAAGGATCTAATTTCAAGTAAATAATACTCGTACTTTTGACACACACACACTCTCTCTATCTCTATATCTTTACATTCCTAAACATTTGTAGCTCACCGACTCCACGGTCGATATACTCTGTGGCTTATTGCCATCAAATTGGTGCTCTCGTTCAAAGAAGAGAAACATACTCGTAGGTTAACTCCCAAGAACGAGGATGGTGCAGACAAGGAGCAACGTTCCTACCACCAACCATGCCTCTGGTGAGGGGAACAGCCAGGGCAACGGTAACGGGATCGGGGCGATCACCTCGACTCCTGTTCGGGATAGGGGTGACTGCGGTGTAGCTCCAGGTTGCCATCGCAGCCCTCTCTGCCATTGGCAGGAGCGGGTGTGCGGCACTAGAGCCACCCAGGCCCCGGGAGACCCCATCACTGAGCATGTTGCCACTTCCCAACATAAGGGGAAGAAGACCCGGAGGAGCCGGAGGAGGTCCAACAAGGCCCCGGTGATTGGGAAGGTGCTGGTGGAGGACATCCCAGAAGGGGAGGATGAAGACTCCGGCGAGGGTGGTGTGTCGGCCTTCAAGCAGCCGGGGGTGAGGAAACTCGCGTGTCGGCCTTCGATAGGCTCAACCATGGGCACGACGGCCGCCAAGGCGATTTGCGCTATCAAATCTCAGAGGGCAGGCAAAGGCACGCCGAAGAATCGACCACCTAGGATGCTCGCTTGGGTAGGCCCGAGCGTGCAGACGGACGTCGGGACGAGCGAACCCAACATCGCCGAAGCCCCACGAAGACAGAAAAGACGAGACCAAGGCGCTCTACAGCCAACCGATACTGAGGACGGTAACCCCTTTCACGCCAAGGGTTATGTCGGTACCGCTTCCAGCAAATTTCAGGCCGTGGTAGATCAAAGCCTACAACGGAACGACGGACCCGCAGGACCACCTGTCGAAGTTCTACGCTTCTATGGAGGCGACAACAGCGCCCGACGAGGTGAAGTGCCAATGTTTTCTCGCAACGTTGGAGGGCTCAGCATGCGACTGGTTCAACCGACTTCCGAAGAGAACCATTGACGATTGGGATACCATGGCGGAGAAGTTCTTGACCCACTTCGTGGCCAACCGCAGGCAGAGGCTACCGTACTCCCACCTCATCATCATCTGCATTTGCCAATGGGAGAAGGTTCGAGATTTCATACTCTGGTGGGAGAAGGAGGCCTGAGACGTACACGGGGCAGACGATCAGGCTCTAGTCGCTATGTTCCAAATAGAATACCTCGGGGAGAGGTGAGGAAGGAGCTCCGCAAGAATCCCCCTCCCACGTATCACAAGGAGACTTTGGCACGTTCTAAGTTCTTGGCCTCAGAGGAGTTCAATGACGCTCCCGCCTCCAGGACCGGGCCGGTAAAGCGAGCTCGCGCCGACTCGGGGGAAATCTCGAAAAAGAGGGTGAAGAAGAAGGATTATACCGCTGGCCCTAGAACACCTTCGGCCAGAATCTACTCCGTAGGGGCGCCTGTGGGGACGAGTTGAGAGCTGGGTCTTTTCCCACTCCCCCACATGGAGACCTACGCGGTGTCAGGCGGTAGAAAGTATTGTGAGTATCACCGAAACAACAGTCATAACAGCAAGGAATGCTTTACCCTCTAGAAAGAGATGCAATGATTGATTGCTTGAGGGCGCGTCCCTCGGGATGATGTTGCAGCCCCATCGCGGGGGGAACCAGAAGAAAGGACCTTGAGGAAGCCGGCCGAGCCGGTTGCCATGGCCATGCAAGGGAGGAATCTAGAGAAGAGGCATATTGGACGGGAATGTGATGACCTGGATGACGACAAAGTCTAGGGGTACCCGGTTGGGTTCATCCATGGTGGGAACACGGAGGGAATTCCGTCGCCCAGAGAAAGAAGTGGAAACACATGGCCTTTGTCGCCAAGGTCCACCTGGCGCCGGTGTTTAAGCTCGGGAAGAGAGAGCGAATCGAGTTCACGGAGAAGGACCTCCCCAACACGCCGAGCCCCCATAGAGACACCCTAGTCGTCCTGATCAAGATAAACAACACCATAGTGCACTGAACCCTGGTGGATACCAAGAGCTCTGTGAACATCATGTATGAGAAGACCTTCCAGGACCTCGACCAGAGCCAAAGACACCTTAAGCCGGTGCGCACCCCTCTCTCTGGGTTCATGGGAGACTCCGTCGAAGCTGAGGGAGTCATCATGGTGCCCGTGATAGTAAGGGATGGTGCGCACAAGGCTAAGTTGAACATGGAATTCTTGGTTGTGAGCATCAACTGCGCACACAACATGATCCTGGGATTGCTCAACCTCGAGGATTTGGAGTGCGTCATCTTCGCGTACTACTTGTTTATGAAGTTCTCCACCCCTTCGGGGATAAGGGTGGCAAGGGGAGACCAAAAGCTTGCCCGCTCTCGTTATGTCCGGATCACCAAGAAGCTGCCAAGGGATGAGACGCTGGTCGTTAAAACCCATGAGGAGATCAGGAAGAGCGGCCAAAGCTGAACCCCGCGAAGAAGTTGAGGAAGTGCCCATCGACCCCTGTGTGCCCGAGCAGAAGGTAAAAACGGGAATGAGTCTAACAGGGAACCTGCAGAAGCATCTGGTGGTCGTGCTCACCTCGTTCAACGTTATCTTCGCATGGGGGCCCGGGGATATGCCGAGGGTAGACCCCAAGATTATATGCCACCGGCTGGAGGTCAACCCCGAGTACAGGCCGGTAAGGCTGAAGAAACAATTCCTTTCGTCCGAGCGGAGGGAGTTCGTCGCCAAGGAAGTAGCCACCCTTCAAAGCATCGGACATATAAGGGAGGTTAAGTATCCGGAATGGATGGCCAACGTGGTGTTGGCACCCAAGGGGACCACCTGGAGCATGTGCGCGGATTACACCGACCTCAACAAAGCGTGTATGGATGTCTTAATCTACTATTTTAGAAAGTAGACCTTATTAATTGAATAACTAAACAATCATTAATTTCATAACAAGTGTTAAAAGTTTGTTTAAAAGCCACATATTTTATTCTACAATAACAACAACAACAACAATAACAAATCTAGTAAATTTTTACAAAAAAAAGGGTCTGAAAAGCGGTTGTGCGCAGATATTACACCGATTTAAAATTATACTCCCTCCCTCCTAATTTAAGTTGCACGTTGTTTATGATATTTGACTGAAATTATTTTCAACATAATTTATTCAAAAATTGGTGTGAAATTAAACAATAAAATTTACATACTTAAGAATTATATCAAAAGATCTACAAAATAAAAGGTGATGAGAATATATTATTTTATCAATAAGTAGTAAAAATAGATAAAGAACATGATTAAAATGTGATAATGTGAATATTTAATATGCAATTTAAATTGGGAGGGAGGGAATATAATTTATTTCCATGGGACCCCAACTCAAAGGTAGACAGTTTTTTTCTAAGAAAAAACTTTAAGGATCCGTTTGGTATACAGAATTGATCGAATTGGAATTGAATTGAAATTGAAATTCCATGGGATTCAATTCCATATAATTGAATTCACCAATTCCAATTCATTTTTTGCACTATCCATTCCAAATCCACATAATTTTTGTGCTACCAAACACCAGAACTGGAATTGAAGTCTTCAATTCCAATTCCATAGTTTGAATTCCGTGTAACAAACGGGGCCTAAGCAAATTTTCTATCTTGAGGCGGATAAAAAGAGAATCGGAAAAGCTAAAATCTTGTGAGACGAGGGAGTTTCTAAAATACTCCTTCCGTCCCAATTTAAATCGCCTGTTTTGACTTTTCGGCATATTTAAGGAAAATAAAAAATAGAGTTGATTTTCCGAAATTGACATTACTTTTTAGGAGGGGTGGTGATGAATGAGAAGATAAGGTGAAGAAGTGTGACTTATTTTAGAGGTAGTTTATGTATTTTATTTTTTAAAGTTTACGAAAATAACTAACAGACAACTTATTTTGGGACGGAGAAAAAAAGCAAACAAGCAATTTAAAATGGGACGGAGGGAGTAGTAAAATAATTCTCACATTTAAATAAATTTTAACTGCTAACATTTCACCAGTTAAAAAATGTTAACTTCCTAATGAAATGCTTGTCGTTAGACTTTTTTTAGGGAGAGTTATTTTAGACTTCTTCGTATCATATAAGTTTTTCCACTAATTTCTTATCCATCCCAAAATACTTTTTTTTTTTATTTTAAATTTTCTAGGAGAGAAAATGTGGTTTAAATTTAATTTTCTTTAATCAATTTTTTTGACATTAACTTTCACAATTCAACATTTTGTTAACATCTATAATTTTCAACATTTTATTTATATGTGTGAAGTTAAAGAGACCAAATTAATCTTGAATATCGAAGATTTGTTTTCAAAAAGAGGTTGAAAAAAGTGGAAAAACTAAGTAAGATGGATCAAAAGAAATGGAAAATTTTAGTATGATAGGGAGAGAAATTTTTTAAAACACAGAATCAGTAAAAAAACAATAATGAAACAATAAAGCAACATAACGAACTTCTCCCCTGACTTGAGTGGTAGCAAGTCCACTTCCCAGGATTCATGAGGAAGTTCACCCAGGTTCGAGCCCCAGCAAACACACACACACACACACACACACACACACACACACATATATATATATGGCAGTTGACCAAAATTATAATAAAAATAATTTACTTGAGTTATGTCACCAAATTAAAAAAAACAAAATTTACATATTTAAAACACAATATTAAAAGTTTTATAAAATAAAAGGTGATTTTTTTGTCAAATAAGTTAACTCAATTTTTAAAAAAAAACTACTCAAATGAAATATTTGCATGAATGCGTTTTATAATAATATTAAATATATCAATGATTTAGAATTTAAATTATAGCCATAACAATAAATTTCTTTGAAGTTTTTAAAAAATAAAATAAAATCCCTAAGAATCTTTATGTTTAACTATTAAGTATTTAAAAAACATTAAAGTAAAGTGTAACAAAAAACATTCTAGCTTAGATGGTCTACAACTAGACCTGATCAATGTTCCGGCCGAGGCAGATTTCGGGCTGGGCTGAGAGGATACATTATAAGAGTTTCAAAGGCTCGAGTCTTCCCCGACCCGCATATCGAGCCTAAAAATGAAACTCGAGCGGCCGAGTCCGGGCCACGTGAATATCCACGGGTTTTGGGCTGGGCCGTCGCGCATTAATAATAAATTATAAGCATATAAAAAAATTTTTAACACTATAATTCGATGAAAAAAAAGTAAATTTTAAACTCTAATATATTCGGTGTGTAAATTTTAGCAAACAAAAAATCGGTATGGTGTATATATATCACGAAGTATAAACTAGAGTACATACTTTTGCCCTAAAATTTTAGTAAACACATAGGAGTAAAACGTGACTAATGAATAATATTTTGTATATTTTTTATGTAATCATATTCCGTATAAAAGGGTATATATTTTATACTACTCCGACAACTTCGTATTATTTATATACTTTCATATTAATTATTTAAAGGGATCAAGCTAGGCCGCGTGCAGGCTTTAACAACACAACCCATACCTGGCCCGCAACATCTACGGGTATCCGAAATTTACGGGCCAGGCTGGCCCCAATGCTAAAACTCAACCCCAATCTCGCATTTTTTCAGGCGGGCCTATCAAGCCAGGTCGGATACCCGAGCCCATGTTCAGCCAGGGTGTTTGGCAGTGCGATGTTTTTTACGAATTTAGCTTCTGCTTTGAGTGGAAGTGGTTTTATTCTGTTTGGCATGTTAGCTTCTGTTTTTCTCTACCACTATTTTTTTTACACAAAACACTGTTTTAGAGAAGCAGTTATGAGGTGCTTTTGCTTTCAACTTTTACGAAAATCACTTTATCCACAACTTAATTACTCCCAAACATCCTCTAAATCTAGTGTCTAAGAGATTATGTGTTCTCCTCTTAGATTAAATATTTTTGAAAAAAATTCACAATAAAACAACAGTTCAGATAGGGTCTGATCGGCCGGTTCTTACTCATTTACACCGGTTCAGACCGATTCAATATATATTACGATCCAGACCTCTGTATTTGACCGGTTAGACCACCTTTTCACCGGTTCACGGTTTGATACAGCCTTCGGAAAAAATGCGAGTTTTATTCGGGTTGGTCTCT